CTGAATTAAATGCAAATGTTGTAGGCGGATGGAATGGCACCGGGTGTTAGACCTGTGGGGTCAGACTGAACCTGAGTTCAGCAACCTCTGTATTTGAGTTCTGCCTAGGAAAGAATTCAGAGCCAAGATCCAAACTATAAGAGAACATTTATTTGGTAAATCACAGAGGTAGAAAAAGTAATTCTTAGAAGAAATGGGCTTAGGAAACAAGTTATAGAGGTAAAGGAAGGGCCCTTGGAGCTTAGTAGTGAGGAAGGTAAAGGTGATGCCCCTGGGGGGATGAGGAGGGGGGGAGTGAAGGGATGGCCCTGGGAGGGAGAGCGCTGAGTCCTCTGTCCTAAGGGTTTTAAGAGTGGAGATTTTAAGGGAGGTCCCAGGGGAAAATCTTAATAGAATATTCAGCAACTTTCCAGGTGTGTCCTTTCAGGGTCTAGGCCTCCACTGACTGATCAGTAGGTGGGCACCAGGGGTCATTATTCAATGCAGCTGGTCCTGAGGTCAGTCTTGGTGTTGTTTGTCTGGTTTTGCTGCTTTTCTGGGCCTGGAGATGAACTATACAACTGAGGCCTAGATGTTATCTCTAGGGAGGAAAGGTCAGGGGGTCCAAACTGCATGACCAGAGATATGCTAGGGGAGGAAAGGTCACCCTGGGGGGGAGGTCCCACCCTACAATTGTCCTTTGCTGGGCACCTGGGGCTTTTTGCCCTGGTGACCTTCTGTACCTGGCCCATCATCCTTGTTCTGCCCTTGTCTAACTGCCTAACACACAAACACTGGTGACCACCACTCAAGGCTTCTGTGTGCATGTGGATCTCACATTCCAGCCTACAGTATCACACTCCCACATATATTTACACAGCACTCCCCAGTGCTTACTGTGCCAGGCATGATCATGAGCGCTGTATGTTTCCCACCATCAACCTTCTACTCCAGTCAAGGTGTCTCTTTCTGCACAAACCATGCACATTGATAGTTGGGAGGAATCATCCTGTCACCCAGACCTTTAGAGGTACCCTGATTCACTGGTCTTCAAATTGTGTTCAGTTGGTTCAGTCAATGAGACTTAGGAGCTGCCTCAAAGGGTAAGGTAATGGCCAAGAGAGTGGGTCATACATACCCTGAAGCCCCCACCAAGAAAGAAGTACTGGTATCCTACTGCTTTAAAAAAAAGAAAGGTTTTTACAAGCCATTAATGAAATTTAATCCAATCCTTTAACAAAAGAAATGGAAGCAGGAAATAGTGAATCAATTTGCTCAGGTATCTAAAACATGGTTTTTCGAGATGAACCTACGCCAGGTGTGTTTCACTCCACAGGCTTCCTCCAGCCCGGCTGTTACCTTGTCTGACAGGTCCTTCAGCTCCTTTCTGACTCATTCATACCTCCTTAAAAATTGGGAGCATCTATGCTTTTGTCACCATTAAATCTTTCCCCAGCTGCTCAAGATGGTTCTCTTCTCTGGTCTCCTAGAGACTTTTGTCTGAACTAAACACACTTAACACTTAATTTGGTACCCTGGAGTATTTTTTCTTTTTTTATATGTTTTAGTTTTGCCTCCCTCAGAGGTCAGCAGTACTTTGAAAGTTGGGAGAACAACTTAGACTTAAATTAGTTCACCTAAACATTCAATAAATATTACTATGTACCAGATACCAGGTAAGTACTTAGAAGAATATAGGGTGAAGACCTCCCTGCCTACAGAGGCTCAAACTGTACTTGAGGAAATAGAAAAGGAAACATTGTTTTACAGTATCAGACAGAATAAAATAAGTACAAAATATAGGTCAAGAAAAGTGCTGTGTGAATGCAAGAGGAAAAGCAACTCATTGTGTCAGAGAAGATCAGTAAAGTTCTCATTTGCTTCTATCCACTATGGGGAACATTGTAGACAAGGATTTTACCATGTCTCAGTTTTGATGAATCAGTATTAAAGTTTCTGTTAAAAAAATCCAAAGTGCATATGGCCAAAGGCCTGTCTTATACGAACAAAGCCAAAAATTACATCTCTTCTCGGGCTTGCTATTACTTCTCCAAAGTGCTCAGAACACAGTAGCTGCTTAACAGTCGCTAAACACAGCTTGTGGGACTTGGTATGTGCTGAGTAAACCATTTTTTTAAAATTTTATTTTTGTTTAAAATATACAGATGTCCCTTTTCCTCCCCAATGACCCATTCCATCCTGTCCCATGCCCCTCCCCAGTCCCTCTCCCCACCATTGTCCATGTCCTTGGGTTGTGCATATACGCATATAAATTCTTTGAGTAAACCAGTTTTTAAGAGTGCCAGTCGTTACTCATTTCTCAAATTAAATTCCACCAAAAAAGAGTGAATGCATATTTTTAAATCACCATATCTTGATTTAGAACCTACTATTAGAAGACCTCAACATTTTCCCAGGGGAAAATAAAGCAGTTCTTTTGGAATTCAAGGGAGACTCGGCTCTAAGAAGGAAACGACAACAGATACCCACAAAGGCCTATCCCAGTTCTGTGATTCCCAACCTTGAGGATACCTTCCTCCCATACTCTATTCCCCTCAAATTTTGTTTTACCTGTCAAGTCATTCAAATTCCACAGGTCATTTTTGTGACAGACTGGACTGTTCTAGTCAAAAAGACATCTATGTACGAACCACAAGAAATATTCAGGACCAATTATTTCCTGGAAGTACAACTAAACATTCATTATGCCAAGCCCAAATTGTCTTTTGTTTCAAGGTACTATATAACAACCAAGTGAATAATACTTAAAAATGCCATTCAATAAGTTAACTTATTTAGTTTCTTGTGGGTTTGTGGCTAACAGCTTTCTCAAAATGGAATCCATTAGAGGTACAAGAAGGGCTTGCTGTGGAAGAGGTTAGGCTTTTAGTAATGGCTCTTATAAACATACCTTTATCTGTGTAACTAAGAAGTTAAAGTCTGCTTCCCCACTTGACTCCAAGCTCCATAAGAGCAGGGACACAGACCTTCTCACCACTATGTCCCTAATGCCTTGAAAAATGCCCAGCATTTAGATGTTCAGTATATTTTTGATGAATGGGTGAACCTGGAAGACAGACTTTGGTACAGCCTTGAAGTGCCCTTTGCCCTGTAAACATACTTATTAGAGATCAAGATGAAGTCACAGAAGATAGATACACTGATCAAAGTTGCAAAGGGGGTTAAAACTGAGAGAAGCCTAGGTTGAGCCATATAAAATTGCTGTTTTTGAAGGTCCAAAGGAGATGGTAAGCTAAGCATTTCATATAGTTCAACCTGATGTGACTGTTTTGAAAATTTCTGTGCCCATGAGGTTAATTAAAATGTATTACATTTTAAAAGAGATCTATGTCCTATGACCATAATCTGTAAGGATGGGCCAGAGAAACTGAGGTGTGCCGAAGGGGGTGCAACAGGTGTTTTTCTGTGTTTGAAGGACTGCTGGGGGAAGACTCAATTAGTTCTATATGTCCCTGATCCTAGTAGAACTGGGATCAGTAACCGGAAGCCACAAGGAGATGGTTCTTGGCTCGACAATAAATTTTAAAAAAATTCTCTGGGCTATTTGAGTGGTAACTTCTTTATAACTGGTGGTATTCAGCAGCTCTGAGAAACCCTTTGCTGGTCCTGCTATAAAGGAGACTCTGGGTGACCTTAGGGATTCTGTCCATCTTCTGAGTTGATGAGTTGGCTTCAAGGAACTCAATGAGATCCATCACCCTAAGTCAAGGTATACCTGTCTCTAAATGAATATTCCCTGTTAATATTCAACTGTTAATATTTTTTTGATGTAGAAAGGTATTAAAAATCATGGTTTAACTTTTCTAGGGAAGTGAAGTTGGGCCTAAATTAAGAGTAAACATGTGACTGCATAGGTTGAACAAGTATTGTTTCAGGAATGGTCCCACAACAAACTTTAAGGTGTTCTGAAAGCTATGGTATTGGGGTTTTAAAAGGTTTCAGCTTAAATACAAACTAAATAAAACAATAACGTTTTAATTTTCTTACTAACTTAGAGGAACACTGGCCAGAACTGTGGTCTGTATGTTTAGGCTACACTACCCAGTTAGCTTGATTTGGAAACGCATAGAGCAGTGCTCACAACCCTGAGCTTGGTTCTTCCCTGCTGAAGACCACGTTTCACCTCAACAAATATTTACTGGGCCTCTACTCTGCGTCAGACCCTCGAGACACAAAGGAGAATGAGACATCCCTCCCTGCCCTAAAAGAGCTAACATCTCACCCGCCCCATGTCTTGACTAATAATACTTTTTGAACATTTACTTTGTGCCATTTAACACTTATAATACCCTATGAAGCAAGTACTGTTTTTATTCCCATTCACAGATGGCAACTCTAAGATATACGGAGTGTAGAGAGGCTGAGTAACTTGTCCTTGGTCATATGGCCAGTAAGTGGCAAAGACAGGGTTTGAATGCAGGCAGAAGGCCTGCAGAATTCACAAGCTTAGCTATTACACTAGACTGCCGTCTTAGCAAAGCACAGTTCTTCCTTTTGCACTGTCTAAGGAGACACACTGACCCGAGGCTGACTGCCTACGCCCAGTCTGTGATATTTTGTTATAGCAGCTTGAACAGAGTAAGATAGACACTATGTAGACAATTCGAAAGACCAGGTTCGAGTTCTGGCTGTTCTTCCTGTGGGCCTAACATAAGTCACACACTCTCCATGTCCTTGTTTCTTAGCCTAAAAAGGAGCTCTAATAATATCTTTGCCAACTTCTTTCTTAGGGTGACCCAAGGCTGAAGTGTGGTCGTGCTGGGTAAAGTGTTTTCAAAGCTGTGAAGTCCTCAACCAATGGGAAAGTATTTCGGTACAAATGTGACTCAGCATTATTTTGAAAGTGGGAAAATTTCAAGGATGAGCCCGAGTTTATGGCTTTTCACTAGCAGAATGCTGTTTATAAGGACTTCAAAAAAAGTGGTGTTTTATTATGTGTTGTGTATGATAATCACTGCGAGCCACTTCCTATATGAAGTGTATTAGGTGGAATTCCACACTGGCACTCACAGATGACTTTATTAAAATAATAACATTTTTAAATGCCAGAAAATTCAGAAGCAATCCTATTTTACTTATTAGAGATACCCTCAGGGCACAGACTGTAGAAATTCTTTATCTCTTCTGCAACAATAAAATGAAACTCTGCCTAAATTTAGTAAAAACATTACTTAGAGGCAGGTATTCTGCAGGCAAGAAAACCTTTTATTTTAAACCACAAATAGTCAGCAGGTGGCCACAACTATCCATGTTTCATTAAAATCACATAAACCTAGGTACAAAAGCACCACTGATTATTGCTCTAGAAAAACTGCATGAAAAATGCATATATGCACAGTAAAAACACCACAGTATGCACAGGACTATATTTTTAAAGCAAATGCATGGAATGCTGAATCAATTATACACACAGCTTCCAATATTAAATTTATTACACTTGAGAATGATGGAAATTTCCAAAAAGATGTATTATGAGAAGGTAAAATGTCCATCCTTATATATTTTTGTATGCCAACTAGAGTTCTAAAAAATTAGCATTTACAAAAACTTGGTAAAAATAGCTTTTAAAAGTTGTCCCAAGAGGTACATAAAATCAATCTCAATTTTTCCATGACAATTCATTCTCCCTCGGTATCTACAGATTCAGTTTTCTGTGCCTGTGGGGGGAAAAATGAAAAACAATGATATAGTTACTATTAAAACTACTATAAGCCAAATAAAAGTCCACCCCACCAACACACACACTTTAGAACATCTGTTTTTTAGCACCTCCACCGCAAAACCTACTTCAGCTCTGGGTGTAAAACAGACAAGGCAGGAATGTATTACGCAAAAGCTCTGCTGCACTCATTGCTTTCTGCTTTTCAAACGACCACAGACGCTTTCCCTGCAAGCTCCCAAGGCTCATAATAAACAACAGCACACCACTAGCTGGTTCTAGTCACTGCAAACATGCAGGATTTTCTACGATACCCTTAACTCTCACTGTTTCAATCTGCCCCTTTACGGACAGTGTGCGGGGTGGGGTACCTCTGCAGGTTGAGACACTAACAGTTGAGCGATAGATGTGGATCTGCAATAACATCACAGGCAACGAAAAGAGACTTTAAGAACATGCCATCAGCAGCTGAAGGAGCCAGCAATTTCTTAAGACACTGACTCAGCCCGTGGGAGGTATTTATGCACAGTACCTCTTCCACTTTAGTTTCTCCGTTTTCAGACGGGGCAGTGCCTTCCTTTCCAGCTTCCTGCTTCTCCTCTTTCCTCCCTTTAGCACCTTTGTTAATCTTGGTTCCAGGCTCTTTCTAACAGGATCAAAGCACAGACAGACAGTACATCAGGCACGGTGCGGTGTCAGCCGAGACCCGCCAGTCTCCGTCCAAACGCAGCGCCAGGCACAACCGGGCCAACACGGTGGGTTTGGGGGGAAAATGGGAACCCAGTTTGGTGGGGCATCAGCTGAGCTCTACTGAAAGTGTAACAGGCTGCTGGGAGAGTCCACCGGACCTTCCCTTCTGCGAAAACACGACGATTCCTCTTCTGCACTTGTTCGGGGGACCGCCTCTCTCGATGCGGTGAGAGGCGGTTCTGCCGTGGAGAGGACAGAGGCAGCTGGTGAGGGACAAGGCAAAGCAGGGGAGGCCGGCTCGTGGAACACCTCCCGTGCTTGGGGACGTGGGCTTGCGTGACTAGAGAGCTGAGAGAACTTGAGAATGAAGACCCAGATTCTAATTTTTTTTTAAGGGACATGAATCTTTTTTTTTTTTAATGTTTTAATATGTTTTTATTGATTTCAGAAAGGAAGGGAGAGGGAGAGAGAGGGATAGAAACATCAATGATGAGAGTCTTTGATTGGCTGCCTCCTGCAAGCCCCCTGCTGAGGATCAAGCCCGCAACCCGGGCACATGCCCGGACTGGGAATCAAACCTCCATCTCCTGGGTCCTAGGTCAATGCTCAACCACTGAGCCACACCCGGCTGGGCTAGATCCTGATTTTAAGACCAAGCTACAGAATTGAGTTCTGCTTCAGAATCACCTACTCACACCATGATACACATAGTTTCAAACAATTCACAACAAGGGGCAATGCTCTGAAGGGCAGAGTAGAGAAAAGCCACGTGGGGTCTGTTTTTGTGCTTTAGTTTCCTCATCGGCAAAACAGGCTATTTATACCTACCTCAGTAGGGCTGATGTGACGGTTACATGAGAAAAGCAATCAGAAGAGGGTCTGGCATAGTATAAGGGCCATATAAATGTTTGCTGGTATTAATTATGTGATTATTATGAGTTATCAGACTGGCCTAGTAAGAGCAGTGATGTGAAGCCAGAAGCCCCTTCCCCGGGTCCTTGAGCTCTTGGCAGCAGTGTCCATGGCTGCCACCAGTGTGAACCGTGTGAGCACCGTGTGAATGGCATGTTCAGGAGGAAGTACCAAACCCCCTTGGACATGAGGCTTCTCAGACCACTGTGCGCTGACTTTCTTTGCTTTATTGACCAGATGGAAAACACATTCCTGGTAAAAGCATAAAACTGTGCTTTATGCCTGTCGAGAAAGCCTGTAGCAGGGATAAGTTTTCTAGTCAGTACATTTAGCCTGAAGCATTAAATGTGATCTTTCCTTGGATGACTTTTGGATATGAAATTATAATTTATTCATTGTTTAAAAAGCCAAAGTGGGAGTGGAAGCACCTCTTACCTTAGCAGATGTTTTTCTTGGTTTGGGTTCAGGTTTTGGTGGAGTGGGTTTCTGCAAAGATAAATTAAGTTATGCAAATAGTGACAAAGACAACCCTCAGCACCAAAAAGACCATGAAAAGATCACAAAAGACAACAGTGCATTTTGACTATGATTTTGCTCATTTAAAAAATATTTCATTCTATTTTTAGCATCAGGTAACGGCATAAAGAGCTCTGCAATTTCATATCTATTTTCATCCTGGGTTCTTGAGTGAACGGCAGGTGAGATTTAAAAGCCAACTAGTTATTCTCTGGTCCAGAATAGCTCTCCGGGAACAGGTTTCAGCTTCTATCTCTGATGTCTCTGTACTTCCTTTTATCACAGCATAGCAGCAGGAAGGATGACTCAGGCTCTTGGCCAAATGACTCAATGAATTCGGTCACACTAGCCTTCCCAACAGTCTAGAAATCACAGCACAATCACAGGCAAAGCCCATCCTGTAATGAAGACTGCTGCCTGTGAGGTATTTCAAAATCATTTCCAAATCCTTTCACCTCTGATGCAGATTTCAAGTCCTGGAGCCAACTTTCATCATCTCCAATGCCAGTACAAGGTGAAAAGAATCTCTTGCCCACCCAGGCACTGGGCTCATTTTGTCTCTAGAGCTTTCTATTAAGAACATGATTATAATGATAAAATGTCCGCTGTTAGCCCCTAAAGTTTAAGATTTTTCACAGATCTTATTAGCCAAAGAGCCCACCAGGCAATTATTTTTCTGTGGCCTCGTGTGGGTGTCCTCATTGCCCTGAGCAGTGCCTGCCTGCTCTGTGGCCACGGTGCCCCCCACACAGGGCTTCAGTCCCAGCCTGCTTCCCAGGGCCCTGGGACAGGGTGGCACGTGGGGATGCTGGGGAAAATAACCAGTGTAAACCTCTAGTTTTCTATAGCTATGTTAGGGCAAATATTTCTCTCATGGAGCTAGAAAAAATAAGTGTACATCTCTCCTGGCACTAGGGGGAATGGTTTTTAAATAGAAAACACTGGCCAGGGTCTCCCCCTGTGGAGAAAAAATACATGTTCCTCTCCAGTGCCTCTAGGTGTTTCAGATTCATGTTGAATAGGGCCCTTTTCATCAAGAGCATAAAGTAAGATTGTAGACAGTTCAATTCCTGAAGACTGACTGCTAGACATGACCTTTCAAATAAAAGAAGAAAACTGAGATTGAAAAGTAAGGAAGGCTTTTATTAATCTTCTTACCACTCTAAATCTGCAGTTTGCTCCCCAAATACAGCAGCTTGCAGGACTCCTAAATTTTCAGGATCTTAAAATTTTCATTTTGAGCTTTGATATGTTGTGTTAACATATACTTGTTTTCTCAATTGACAGCAAATACTTTCCTTTTATAATAGTTTCTGTAAGACAGCCTCACCGCCTTCT